GGTTGAGCTGTTGTTCAGCATCTTAGCTGTGGAGGGCAGTGTCAGTGGCCCTCATATGTGGGATCCGAACCGGGGCCCTCTGGCGTCCCAAGCCAGCTCTTAACCATTGCGCCACTCGGCCGGCCTTTCTTTCTTTTTTTAAAAAAAATTATTATAGCATTCTGTGTTACATTCATTACAGTGTTCCTTAGGATCACTTATCCAACATAATTTAAAATAGCTGAATATTATTACATTTGCTGCATGTACCAGAATTTGCTTCACTATTTCTCATTGTTTGTATTTAATTATAAGTGACACTACAGTGAATAGCCCTGTCTATACATTTTCTCAAACATCTCTATTTCCTAAGGACAAATTCTCCATTGGACAGTTTGTGAGTCAGAGAGTATGATTATTTTTAAAGGTATTGGCTAGTGCTGTAGATTGTTTCGATGAATTAGAGGAATGATTTGCTGGAAGAAACAGATAATTTCAGCCCTACCTAAATTAATTTGCTTCATTTAATTGTTTTTTTTAATACCAGTTATCAGTTGCTTAAAAATTGATGAAAGTGATTAATTATTGGATGCTGTGGACAAAGAAGAGTGGGTGTAAATGAACAGAAGGCAGTTTTATTCATTCAAGACTGATGTTTTTTCATTATAATGGAAAATCCACAGGGCCAGAGAGTTTAAAATATAGGCAGAAGATTGGCTAAAGGTATTTACCATTGACTCTGGGGCAAGGAAGGAAGTAAGGCAACAGAGAGGGTATTTAGGAAAAACTGAAGAGTTCTGTATCACCTTCATATTGGGTTTTATATATATTTTAAAGTTTATTTTTGGTTATATATGTATATATTTTTTTATTTTGAATTATAATAATTATAGATTCATAGGAAATTGCAAATATAGTTCATGGAGATTCTGTGTACCCTTCACTCAGTTTTCTCCAGTGGTTACATCTGACAAAATTACAATATAATATTGAAACCAAGAATTAGACTTGGTATGGTATATGTGGATAGTTCTGTTAGCTCTCATTTTAAAATGTATTTTAAAAATGATAATTGTCAACATATTGGTAAGTTTTTTTCAATTATCTTTTTACTTCATTTTCTTCGTAGCTTTTATCACTTTGAAATTAGTATTTTTGTGTGCTTTCTAATTAATGCATTTCTATCTTTTCTCTTTATTAAGTCTTACTAGGTTTTCCAGTTTACTTTGAATTTCCTTGAAATTAGTGACATGCTGATCATATCTTTTAACAGGATTTCAGTGCTGATAGTGGCTTTATCTTTTTTTTTTAAGTTATTTCTAGAGATTTAAGTAGAGATTTGGGAGGGGAAAGTTGAATGTTGGAGATGGTCACCATGTTATCATGATGTCTCTTATTAACATTTTTTAATTCCTTAATGATTATTTATTTTTCAAAATAAAAATGTTTTTCCTTAAACTTTAGAAGTATATATATAAAATACTATTATCACAAAGTAAAATTTTATAGGCAATAAAAAAGATGGTAACAATTTTTAAAAATTTAATGCTGGCCCTTCCTTTTTACACTATCAGTTTAGTTAAAACGATTTTAATAAAATACTCAAATACTATACAGCTGTTCCTGTATTTAGATTTATAAGAACTGTTCATAAATTTATCTATTTAAGTCCAGTATCTAACAGGTTTGAACTTTCAGTCTCTGGTTAATTTTCCCTAAAATTGTTAGTAAGCTCTTTAAAGCTTACAAGCCCAGATGATATACATTTAATTGTGTGTCTATTCCAAAACAGCTTAGTTTCATCTACTTGTGAAATTGTTGAGGCAGTTAAATTCTCCGTTTGATGACCTCTCCTGTTGTTGAGGAAACTTGTGTAGTAGTCTCAGTGGTTCTGATCCTGGCTGCACATTAGAATCACCCAGGGAATTTAAAAATATATTGATGCCTGGAGTTCACTCCCTCAAGATTTGATTTAAATTTTTTTTTTTTAATTTACTGATGATTCTTAAGTGCAGCAACGGTGAAATACCACTGAGCTATGGCATCCACAATAGCTGATGTGTCATTCACTTTAGTTTGCATATTCAAACAGGGGTTGGATGTATTCACTTACCTATGGCGTATAACAAAAATTTTACATTTTTCCTATACTTAGTCTTGACATTCTCAAACACTACCCTAATCTCCTCCTGAATTACCAATAATGTAATAGTGCTTTTTCATCACTATTGTTTTTGAAAGGTAGAGCTCTTTTCACAGGCTGTATGTTATCTTTATGCTAAAGATTCGTATCTAGTGTTGAACTATGTAGCTTGTAATCCAAATGCTTCTTTGAGATTTTTCGAAACCACTTTCAAGTTTTTATTAATCCTTACATTGTTTCTTTTTTGAGTGCCCCTTCTTATTAACAACTTCTATAATTATAGGACACAATGGGATTAATTCCATTTAAAAAGTATCTGAAGGGTAAAGATGAACATAGCAGCATTTGGATTAACAATATTGTACCTGACTCTGAAATGGACTAAAAATGTTGGTGGCTAAGAATTTCTCTTGAACCCTTAACTATATTCCTGTCAAAATGCTGCAAAATGCTGTTAGTAGGTGTGGAAAGTAAATTAAATTAATAGTGAGACTACATTAACCATATCACGTTGAGCATCATTTTAGAAGGAGCTGCCTTTCTTGACTGTTTTCAACCTAATGTAGTGTTAAAAACAATTAACCATTGTTCTTACCGGGCTACATCTAAAAATGAAGAGGCATTTACTAGTTAATGAAATTTTTTGATTTTGGTTTTTTAGGTGATTCGGTCTGGGCAAAAATTAAAGAAAAAGTCTACTGACACAGGCGAGAAACGTGGAGGCTGGTTTAGTGGGTTTTGGGGTAAGAAGGAATCTAAGAAAAAAGATGAAGAATCTTTGATTCCTGAAAGTAAGTTCCAAGTCAGATAATTTATTGTACACTGATAAGACAAAACTGTTTAAATTATAGTTTAGCTAGTTGAATTTTATTTCATAATACTTTTGAAATAAAAGTAGCTAAATGTAGTAAACATAAGTAAATACATCAGGTTGTCACATTTCTGTGTTTATCAAATTAAAACAAACCTTGGATTTTTTTTTTCCAGAAAAATTATTTGTGTGAAATTTAAAAAGTTGAAATTCAGATTCTTGTTATTTTTAACATGGATATTTAATTAGAAGTTTCACTTAATTTTTAAAATATTTAGGGAATTCTAAAATTTTTATATGAGACCTGAATCCCCTTAATGCTGTTTCTTTGCCTTTTTCTGACCTAAAGCAAATACATGATGTTTGTTTTAACGAGCCAAAGTAGTATATTAGAGGAAATTACCTGGTGTCTTTTACTTTAGCATTTTTGTCTGTTGATTTTAGGACGCATGTTAGTTTGGGTTTGATTTTTTATTTATTTTTTTTATTGCATCTGTAAAACTAAAGCAATTGATTTCTTAATATGTTGCCTTTTCTTTGTAGCTATTGATGACCTCATGACTCCAGAGGAAAAAGATAAGCTCTTCACGGCTATTGGTTATAGCGAGAGCACCCACAACCTAACTTTACCCAAGCAGGTAATTATTTAGGTGGTCTAAGAGGTATTTTGTTTCATTTTACTGTATTATCTTGAATTGGGTTAAACAGGTTATTGATTTTTAAAGTAACTAATAAAAGATGGTTTTGTTTCTGCTCTTTACTATTTGTTACATATTTCAGTCAGACTTTTCCAATTAAAACTCTCTCCAACTTTAGATTTACTTGCTTTAGTGAATGCAAGAATAACCTGATAAAAAGTACTTATTATAAAGTTAAATTTAATCTTCAATTTTTTGTCTTTAAAAAAATTCTTTTAGTGTGAAATGTAACTCACATGTAAAAGAATGAAGAAAACCAAAATGCATTAATCATTTGATTTATCACAAGGGAATAGCTATGTGATCACTTCAAGATTAAGATATAGATTTTGTTATAGATATGGCATAGCTGTGAGAGCCATCCCTGTTCTTTCACTACATGTATTTTGCTTATTTTCATTGCTGTGTAGGTATTTTAATTTGAAAATACCACAGCTTATTTATTCATACTTTTGTTCATGGGCATTTGTGTTGTTTCAAGTTTTTGGTGTTATACTACTATTAACTGTTTGTAAATGTCTTTTAGTGGGCATATATAATATATTCTGCTAAGCATATTGTAAGGAGTGGAATTGTTGTGTCGTAGTATTTAAGTATATTTAACTTTAATAGATTCTGCTCCATAGTTTTCCAATGTGGGAGTACTGTATTTCCATCAGTAGTACATGAGGATTCTTGTTGTTCTACATCTTTGCCAACTCTTGGCATTATCAGTCTTTTAAATTTAGCCATTCTAAATAGTGAGTGTGTAGTGGTATTTCATTGTGGTTTTAATTTGCATTCCCTGGTTGACTAAAGAGGTTTTTCACTTTTTCATATAGTTATAGGTCATTACATCTCCTTTTTTATGAACTGGCTTTTGAGTCTCTTGTTCATTATTGGGTTGCCTTTTTCTTACTGATCTGTAGAAATTCTTTATATATGCATAACATTATATTACATCACATTACATCCACATAAATTATTCATCTTACAACTGGAAGTTTGTGCCCTTTGATTACCTTTGCCCACCGCCCTGCTCTCCACCCTGGGAACCACCAATCTGTTCTCTGTTTCTGTGAGTCTGGTCTTTTTACATTACACATATGAGTAAGATTGTACAGTATTTATCTTTCTCAGTCTGACTTATTCCACTTAGCATAATGACCTCAAGTTTCATCCATGTTGGAAATGGCAGGATTTCCTTCTCTTTTATGATATGGCTGAATAATATTTCGTTGTGTATATCTCACCACATTTTTTTTATCTGTTCATCTGTCAGTGACACTTAGGTTGTTTCCATGTCTTGGCTATTACGAATGTGCTGCAATGAACATGGGGGTGCACATTACCTCTTTGGGATAGTGATTTCATTTCTTTCAGATATATACCCAGAAGTAGAATAGCTGAATCATATAACAGTTCTATTTTTCACTTTTTTGAGGAACCTCTCTACTGTCTTCTGTAGTGACTGTACCAGTTGACATTCGTACTAACAGTGTACAAGGGTTCCCTTTTCTCCACATCTCTGCCTTGTTCTTTATTGTCTTTTTGATAATAGTCATTCTAACAGGTGTGAGATGAAATCTCATTGTGTTTTGATTTGTATTTCCCTTATGATTAGTGATGTTGAGTATTTTTTCATATACCTATTGGCCATTTAAATAACCTCTTTGGAAAAATGTCTATTTAGGTCCTTTGCTTATTTTTAATTTGATTCTTTTTTGCTATTGAGTTCTATGGATTCTTTGTTTTTTGTATATTAACGTCTTATAATATATGTGGTTTACAGATATTTTCTCCCATTCTGTAGGGTTGCCTTTTCATTTTGTTGACCCTTCTTTTTTCCTATGCAGAAGCTTTTGAGTTTGATATAGTCCCATCTGTTTATTTTGGCTTTCGTTGCTTATGCTTTCAGTGTCGTATGCATAAAATCATTGCCAAGACCAGTGTCAAGGAGCTCTTTCCTTATGTGTTCTTCTAGGAGTTTTATGGTTACAGGCTTTCCATTTAGGTCTTTAATCCATTTCAAGTTAATTTTTATGAGTGGTGTAAGCTAAGGGTCCAGTTTCATTCTTTTGCGTGTGACTAGTTTTTCTTGTACCATATATTGAAGAGACTATCTTTTCTCCATTGAGTATTCTTGGCTCCCTTGTCAAATATTAGTTCACTGTATATGCATGGGTTTATTACTGGGCTCTTGATTCTGTTTCATTGGTCTGTGTGTCTGTTTTTATTCCAGGACCATACTGTTTTGATTACCAGAGGTGTAGAATATAGTTTCAAATCAGGAAGTATGATGCCTCCAGCTTTGTTCTTCTTTCTCAAGATTGCTTTGGCTATTTGGGGTCTTTTGTGGTTCCATATACATTTTAAGATTATGTTTTCTCTTTCCATAAAAACTACCACTGGAATCTTGATATGGATTGCATTAAATCTATAGATTACTTTGGGTAGTATGTACATTTTAACAGTATTAATTCTTTCAAGCCATGAACACAGGATAGCTTTCCATTTATTTTTATCTTCAGGTTTTTTCATGAGTGTCTTATAGTTTTCACCTCCTTTGTTAAATTTATTCCTAAGCACAGTAAAACCTTGGATTGTGAGTAATGTGGTTTGTGAGTGTTCTGCAAGATGAGCAAACATTCCTAATAATACATTTTAACATGGTAAATGAGCGATGTCTTGCAATATGAGTAGTTTCTGGAACAAATTCTGCTTGCGAACCAAGGTATTACTGTATTTTATTATTTTTGATGCTTTTTTAAATGGAATTGTTTATTGCTTTTTTGGAAAATTCCTTTTTAATGTATAGAAATACAACTGATTTTTGTATATTGATTTGTATCCTTAGCTTTACTGAATTTATTAGTTCTAGCTTATTTTTAGTGGAGTCTAGTATTTTCTGTATATAAGATCTTATCATTGGCAAGCAGAGACATTTTTACTTTTTTTTTTCTGATTTGGATGCCCTTTCTTTTTCTGACCTCATTGCTCTGGCTAGAGCTTACAGTATTATTTATGTTGAATGGAAGTGGTGAGAGTGGGCACTCTTGTCTTGTTGCTGATCTTAGAGGAAAAGTTTTCAATCTTTCACACATTGACAGGCCCACACTGAGATACATTGTAGTGAAAATGGCAAGGGTTAAAGACAAAGACAGAATCCTAAAAACAGCAAGGGACAGGCAGCAAGTTACATACAAGGGCACCCCTATAAGATTATTAGCTGACTTTTCTACAGAAACTCTGCAGGCCAGAAGGGAGTAGCAGGAGGTCTTCAAACTGATGAAAAACAGAGGCCTACAACCTAGATTGCTTTATCCAGCAAGGTTATCATTTAAAATTGAGGGAGAGATAAAGAGCTTCCCAGAAAAGAATAAGCTAAAGGAATTCATTACCACCAAGCCAGCATTGCAGGAAATGTTAAAAGGGCTGCTTTAAGCAGAGGACAGAGAAAAACAACCTAACTAATGAAGACCAGGAACACAAATAATAAAATGGCAATAGCTGCGCACCTATCAATAATCACGTTAAATGTAAATGGACTGAATGCTCCAATCAAAAGACATAGGGTGGTTGAGTGGATAAGAAAGCAAGACCCTTGCATATTCTGTATACGAAAACTCACCTCAGATCAAAAGACACATACAGGCTGAAAGTAAAGGGATGGAGTAAAATATTTCATGCGAATGGTCCGGAGAAAAAAGCTGGAGTAGCGATACTTATATCAGATAAAATGGACTTTAAATTGAAGAACACAATGAAGGACAAAGAAGGGCACTTCATAATAATAAAGGGATCAATTCAACAAGAGGATATAACTCTAGTAAACATCTATGCACCTAACATAGGATCCCCTAAATATATAAAGTAGATTTTGACAGACATAAAGACAGATATCAACAGTAACACTATTATAGTAGGGGACTTCAACACCCTGCTGTCACCAATGGACAGATCCTCCAGACAGAAAATCAACATGGAAACAGTGGCCTTAAATGACACTTTAGACCAGCTGGATTTGATTGATATTTTCA